CAGCAGCAGCAGCAGCAGCAGCAGCAGCAGAAGGAGGAGGAGGAGGGGTGGGGAGAGAAGGCAGGCTAATCTGACGCCACTTTCCTAAACCAGTCAGATCCAATCAGCACTCACCCGAGTGCAAGGCCATAATCTAACCCTCACCCTCGCCCTAAGCAGAACCTTAGACATCACACTGCTGCTCAGCTACAACATTCACCCTAAGCCTTACACAAAACTAAGTTTAGTCTTTGACCCGAGCTCCTAAACACTAACTAATAAGGAAAGCCTGGTTCTCAGCTAGCAGGCTCTGTGTCTCAGTTACTCTTCTGTAGTTGCTGGGACAAATACCCGACACCCAAAAGGAAGGAAGGAAGGAAGGAAGGAAGGAAGGAAGGAAGGAAGGAAGGAAGGAAGGAAGGAAGAAAGGAAAGGTTATTTAGCTCACATTCATTGAAGGTTTCAGTCCATACTCAGCTGGCTCTAAGGCAGACTATTCTGAGAGTAGAGAAATCCCAACCCTCAGAAGACAGAGGCAGGAGGATCCCATGAATTAGAGGTCAGCATGGGTTTCATGGTTTCAAATAGCCTCAATTACCTAGCAAGACCTCGGAGCCCGATTGGTCAGGACAGAGGGTCAGTGCTGCCCTCGGCTCCAAACAGCTCTCTGCCCAAAGCGGCGTCAGTCGCAGGCGCCACTGCCCAGCGCTGCAGTGTCCAGAGGAGCGGCTGGGGAGCCTCTGCTTTCAGGAAGACTAGTTCTCACCTCCGAGAGGCTCTAGGCCAGGGCACGCGCCCAGCCGGTTTAACGGTCCCTCTCACTGGACTCGCGACCCGGAGCGCTCGCCAGGCCCCTCGAGCCTCGCGCTGCTCCTCTAGGAACAGCTGCTTCCTGCCTTATCCGAGTCGGGAGGACAGCTAGACACGAACCATAACACTCTGCACTGCGGGAGCGGGCTGCACCGGGGTCCGCAGGCGGGTGATATCACGGGGGATGGTGCATCAGTGCGTCTGGTTTTGAACACATAGGTGGGGAACTGACATGCAGAAGTTTGAGGTGACACGGGAGAAGCAGCGTGCCAAGAAGGGCAGGAAGTGACGTCACTTCCTTGACAACGCACCAAACAGAACCTGGAAGCCCCGAGGCTGTTTGCCTTCAGTGACTGTTGGAGAGACTAAGGAACAAGAGGATGTTCTTGCGTTGTTTCACCAGTTGTATAGGCTCAGGCCGCAAGAAATGGTGGCGGAGGGACCGTGTCCAAATGCAGACTCCCCGAGATAGCTGCCACCCTCGTGGTCTAGTGGGTATCGAGTCCACGATCCCAAAGGTGACAAAGGATAGCCCTGAACAGATGAGAATGAGCCAGCCCATGACACTGACCACCCTAGTTTCCTAGATCCTTGCCTGTGTTCTGTGTAGTGTGGTGTGGGGAAGTGGGGATGCGGGGTGAGAATGGAGGGGACTTCTATCAAGGCTGTTTCTTTTGGGAGCTGAGCTCTTTCTTATCCATTACGGTTTCCACGCTTGAGCTCTGCCTTTTGCTACCAACTCAGGGCACAAATGAGATCGCCCCGAAGGTGGAGGACGCCTGCAGTGTGAGGAAATTGGAACCCGGCACACTGGAGAAACTGGTGAACTACCTGGTGCCTGCCCAGCGCTGCGGAGACCCCTTCTTCGTGCCTGCATTCCTGGCCACCTACAGGCGGTTCGCCACCACGGGGCAGGTGCTGGATCTGCTGTTCCACAGGTGTGCCTCACCTCCAAGCCAGGGGACCCATCACCTCCTGAGTGGGTGTTGGGAATTTGGTGCACCTGGCCGCGCCCCAGGGTGCTCTATGGCAACTGGACTGCGCTGAGCACACAGCTCAGATGCTGCAGTCCTAGACCAAGTGGGCTTAAACAGCAGACCACCTTCCCCAGGTCCGGTGCTGTGTCTTGTAATCAGCCTGTAATGTGGGGCTTGATGTCCCCAGGGAATGAGCTGTGTGCCTGGGGCCTCACCTTCCTAGGTTCCTGGCTACACTAATCCAGAGTAGTGACCCCTAGGGGCAAACAATGCCGCCCATATAGTTACACGTCTGGGCAGGAGCTGGCTGGCGCTTTCACTGCACAAATGTGCGCAATGCACCTACTATGTGCAGGCCCCTTTCCCGACACTTCTCTGCCATTCAGGCAGCAGCACAGACAAAGCATTCAGCCTCCCCTGAGTCCCTCCTCCTCCTGGAATCAGATCATGCCCTAGACATCCTGGTAGGTGGGGACACTGCAGACACTGAGTGCTATAAGGTCACACCCTGATGGCTCTTCTAGGTACGAGTTCTTCCACCCCAACAGTGAGGACGACCAGCAGAACAAGAGGTGAATGGGCATGGGGCTAAGAGGGAGGATTTCTGTCTCCAGAGTGGGGTTCATCTGAGCAACTGGGCTTTAATGGGGCAGACAAATCCTGGGGTTACACACCATTCATGGATCCCTGCTAGAGGCTCGGGTCTGAGGTGAATCACGGAAGCTGCTGCCCAGTGCTACAGTGCCCAGAGGGGCGACTGGGGCTGCAGGTCATGAGAAAAGAGGATGCAGAGCTATTGTTGGGATGCTGGGTGTGGGAGGAGCAAAGGGTGCCTGGTGCTCACAGCAGGTGCCCAGTAGGATCCATCCACACACAGCCTCTTCCCAGCCACAGGAACCCACCACATCCTGTATGGAGGCAGCTCAGAAACTGTGGAGCACAGACTGTTCAGCATGGGTCCCTCAACCTGCTCCAGCAGCTCCCAGGCAGGGGACCTCTGCCAGGCAACCCTCCTTCAGGGTCAGTGGCAGACAAGTGAATGGGGAGAGGCCAGGCCCCTGACTCTCCTGTTGGTCTACTCCTAGTGCTCTGAGCTCCTTCCTGGAGACCTGGTTGCGGCAATACCCAGGAGACTTTTGCCAGGGACCAGACCTGGCCTGTGTGAAGCAGCTCATAACCTATGCATTAATCAACCTTCCAAATTCGGAAATTATCTCTGAAGTGTGCAGACTTCTGACCCAACGTGAAACCCACTAAGTAGGATCCGATCCTGAGGGTGAGGAGGCCAGGGTGGATGCCTGTGGGTGGGGCAGTAGGGTTCATCCTGGGCCCCACCTGGACAGGCTCCATAGGCTGTGTGCTGGCCAGGAGAAAAAGAAGAGGCTGACAGCAGAGGTGGACACAAACCCCAGTAGGGATGGGGTGCTGCAGTGGGGCCAGCAGCTGGGGCTTCTCTGGCAGGAAGGGGGCTGCTCTGCCTTGGGAAAGAATCAGGGAAGGATCGTGGTGGAAGTGTGTTTTCTCCTGCATATCTCACGCCACTCTATGGCCTGAACTGCTCCCCAGGAGCACCCCTCAAGGAAGACCAGAAACAGGGAAGGGTGAGGCTGCCACTGCCTTAGCTGCAGCTGCAGGATCTGGGGCTACATGGGCAAGAGCATCCCAGCCTAACCCTGTGTCCCCCTCTGTCCCTTCTCACAGGAGCTGTTCATCTGGCTGCAGGACAGCTCAGGACACCACAACTTGCAGGGATCCAGTTGTCTTATTCCTAGTCCCTTGCCTACAAAACTCATGTGTGTGTGTGTGTGTGTGTGTGTGTGTGTGTGTGTGTGTTTTGGTTTTTTAATCTTCCTTTTGGAATAAAATTGTATTTACATAAACTTATTTAATAAAATGTGATTGTAATAAAATCAAAGTGCTCCTTACTTAAAAATACACCTTCAGGACATTAAATCTTCCCTCTGTGGCACACACCCCATTGCACTGTCTAGATGCAGGACGGAGGCATAAGCAGTACCCCTGGGTGCTGTGGGCAAGACACAGATATCATGTGCAGAAGATGCCCTGGTGTGATGGGGAGAGGAAAATACTGAGAGGGACAGAGAGATGGTTAAAGGACATGTGCCCCACTGGGTCCTCACCCCTGATACCCAGGACTGGATGAGCACTGGGCAGCACACTGTGTCCCTTCTGACCCCCCTCCCCCCGCTCGTGTGTCCCTTCCTGCCTCTGAGGTGGGGCAGCAGTGCACTCCCTAAAGGAGGTAAAGACACACGTAAGGCACTGGCAATGGGAACTGCCTGCCACGCTGGGGCTGAGCAGTGCACCTGCCAGTCACAGTGGACACAAGTAGAACTGAGGCTGCGAGCAAATACTCAGAAGGGATTTAATTCCAGCAAA